TTCCCCTCGCATCCCAGTATCCTTGGTAAGTTCAAGCACCTTCCAGCAAACACCAAAAAGACGGCTCCTGTTTAAGCAGCTGATTTTAATTGATCACATGCAGGGATGACCGGGAAACTGAAACAAACTCCCTTCACACAATGTCAAAGCCGTCCACTGCCGAAATTAAAGACGCTCGCATGGAGCCTTGACGATAAACAAAAAATCAATGCGGTCCAAATCAAGAGTCGTGTCTGCGCGCAGCTGCTAGGAAGCTGGATAGTGCATCGCTGGTTTCCCTTGCGTGTCAGTTTGTCAATTTTAGCTTTTCCACAGCGCAATGTTTTGTTAACAATTAACCAGTTAATTTGCATGTATTAATTGTTCTTGTTCTAATGTCCATGGATCTCAAGCTGAAGTGTTGGAAACAAAAGGGATAATGGTAAATTACCACATCAAATCTTTAGAAAGAACATATGGGGGACAGATTTGGTGCAGATCTGATCACCATAACACTCAAACTATGTCATTTATCCAATCTTTCTGCACTTAGACATTAAGAAACCTAAGCTGTTTATTTATTATTATTATAGTTATGTTTCAATTAACTAGAATGTACTTTTTCAAGAAGTTGGATTTCTCTCTCGTCATATTTCAGTTGGGTCCATTGCCACTACATTATGCTCAACGGTACTGGGTACACCGTCCATCAGACATCATAAAGTTTTGATTTTTTAGACGGTGATATATTAAAAATCAGTCTTGGTTTTCAAGTTTGAGAGATGATAATTAAGGAATTGGTTATTCTCACCACAAACAATAATAATAATAATAATAATAATAATAATAATAATAATAATAATAATAATAATCCAAGCAGTGGTGGGGGCTCGGCGGAATCTGACCAAGTGATATATCAGATAAGGATGCTTTCATTGTTGCACTGCACTTAATGGGCTCTACCAGAGATTAGAGAACCCTATCTCAGGAAAAAAGAGATGCTCCTCTGGAGCAAATAGGTTCAGTTGGTGCACCTAATTAATAAGATGGTTGGGGCAATGAGTAGGACAAGATTGACACCTCGCAATTATGTCAATTATGTGACTTTAATATATAACATTCCAGTTAAATAAATTATTTTTTCTATTTGATATTGCCATCAAATATATTTTAAAAAACACTTTTTGATGTTTAACTATGCTATTCAAAAGAAAAAAAAACATTAAATTTAACTGCTTGATCACATATAAGAAAAAAATGAGGCTATATACAGTTTATTTTATTATATCTTATATTTATATATAGTTTATTTTATAAAATTAAACTATACTTATAATACAAATATTTTAAATATAATACTGTAGGCACAGTATCCCAATTTTAAATAAATCTCTATTTATTGTTTGGAGAATAATAAAGTATTGTATTACTTTAACTTTTTAAATCTTCATGGAAAATGTTTTTCAATCTTTTAAATTGGAAAGCATTTTTCTTCACCTAAAACTTGTGTTTTCTTTTGCCCCGAAAAGTGAATTATGTTGATCAATATTGCACGGTATAGCTCAACATAAAAATTCAAGAATTGGAAAACACATTTCAGCAAGCAATCAATGCCTAAAAGAGACCTTTTTTTTTTTTATTTCAGCAAGCAATCAATGCCTAAAAGAAACCTTTTTTTATTATTATTATTATTAGTTTAGATTATCTATGGGCTTTGTTGAAAAATCTATTAAAATATGGTTAATGGACATGTCTCAAAGCAGATTAAAAGTGGAATTCGTTCACGTTTTTTATTAAAATCTTATTGAAATTTCATCACTAACATGAGTTTTTAACATGAACATTAACATGTTCTATGCAAATTATGGATGGATAAAAAATTAATTTTAAATAATTATTAATTATTATATTTTAATGAAACTTAAAAACCCTTAAAAAAACTTTATTCCACGTATAAAAGAAATATAATACTTTTTTAATGTTTGTAAAATTAAAAGTTTAAAAGTTAAAATAAAATATAAAAGGCATCCAAAATTTTTAAAAACAAATCAAAATATTTAAACACATACATACTAATTTGCGTTTCGGATTGGATTTGAATCTAATTTAATTTATTGTAAGATAATATTTTGATTTATAAAATTTTTTGTTTTGTCAACTAAAATTTAAACATGGCATAGCCCACAATCCTTTCCATAGGTTTTTTTTTTTAACACTTTTTTAGCTCGAAAGATTTATATTTATAGTCATTATGTTTGGATTTAATTTTTAATTTATTATAATTAATTAAAGATTGATAATTATAAAAATTAATTTTAATCATTATTATAATTGATTTTTTTTTAACTTTTTATCTTCTAGGATCTACTATAAAAACAGGGTGAAAAAAGAATTCAACATACAAAGATTTTTTCACTCTTTATCATCTCATTTTAGTGATTTTTTTTCTTTTTAAAGTTTTTATCTTTCTTTCAAAATTAGAGTTTAGATTTATCTTATTGAAAAATAATCAAGTGTTTTATTTTAATTTAAAAAACTTAATTTAAAAGTTCATCTAAACTAAAGTCTTGTTTTTATTTTAAAAAAAAACCCCTAAATCTAAAATCTAACGAACATGAATTTTAAAAATTCTCTAACTAGATGAACCTGTCCGGAAAGCCCAAAGTCTTATTTAGATGTTATCCCTTTGTTCAGTTGTTCCAGGCAATTTGGGATTTGATTATTACAAAGGTCATTTTGCTCGTCCTGATAGCATAAATATATAGACACACACACATGTTATGCTGGAGGGATGGATTCTTTCCATATACAGAATGTATTCTTTGCAGGATGAAATATTTAGATGTCCCAACATCCTGTTTAATATTAATTTACTATATTCTTTGCAGTATATTAAAATAATGTAAAAATATTTTAAAAAATATTAATTTAAAGTAAAAGAATTTAAAATTTAATTTTTTTTTTAAATACATAAACAAACAAAACCAAAATTTACTATAGTTCTGTTTAGAGTGCTTTTCCAAATTCCAAGTAGCTTTTATTTCAAACCTATAGATGGCTGATTCTATCCATACATCACACTTTTTCGTGATTTTTTCCATTCGGAATCATGCTCCAATAACGTGGAATACTTCCAGCTTTACATGAATTTTTTTTTTGGGGGGAGATGCGTCTCCTATTAAAAAGGAACATTTAAAAGATTTATGAACTTCAACAGAAATTAAAAATATTTGAATTCTTTTAGGGAGATGCGTTGCATCCGTCGTTACTATAATTTTGCAACTTGATTATAGTTATTTTTTTAATTGATATTTGATACATGAGTTTTATTATACGGGACTTCGTTTATTTTTGCAGGTAGAAAGTCTTTTTGTAAGAATTAGAATTTTGTATTGTACTTTAATTTTTTTATATATTTTAAAATTATTTTGATATGTCAATATAAAAAATAAAAAAATTATTTTTTATGTATTCATAAAAATATCAACACAATCTCTTCAAAAATTCTAAAAAGCTAGAAATGGTTCATCGCACGATAACCGTTGATGTTATGGCACAAGTAATTAAATTCAAAATGAATAACTGGACTTGGTTCGGCAGCGCCAGGCTGCTACTGTTGCAGCTAAAAATGCTAGTGTTTAGTATTGGGACAGTAATTATTATTTTTTAAATATAATAATTAATATTGTGATAATGATTATTTTTTAAAATATTTTTTGCTTATAAATATATTAAAATAATATTTTTTATTTATTAAAAATTATTTTTAACATTAACACTTTAAAATGATCAAAAAAAAATCTATTTTTAACATTAACACTTTAAAATGATAAAAAAAAAAACACACTGCATAAACAATCAGGTATGAAGGAGGTAGGAAATCGAACATCAGAACGAAGCCCATCAAAGCTGGTTTGTCAAAGCAGCTTGGGCTCGGAGGTATTTTCATGAACCACAGGCCCAATGTCCATGATGCAACATCTCAATAAATAAACGACTGTTTGTCTTACAAGCTGAGATACTGGGTTCATTCTCAATAAATTTGCAGGGAAAAGGTAGCAGTCTCTCATTGTATTATGGGCTAACTCCATTCTTTGTTTCAAGGGCGTCGTCCTCCTTGCCTATACCTAACCGTAACAAATATAGAGGCAGTGCTAAAGCTTCTTCCTGGCAGCAAATTTTGCGCTCATTTTCTTTTCTCATCAACCAAAACCTGATTTGTTCTTGCTTGCATATTGTGGATTAAGTGTCGAACTTGGGATGTGTTACAAAGATTTATCACCGGTTACGGTGGGAATTATAATTAAGGTAGAAATCAAGACCTAATATCAATTTGCTGGATTCTTTTTCAGAAATGAAATTCCACATGACCTTCGAGGGCTTGCAAGCTGGTTCTCTCGGCTTGAGGCTGGAACTATCCATGTGCCAGTAGGGAAAGAGCCAATTAAGGGTATACACATTTGCTGTGTTGGACTACGATGCATATAGATATTCTTTGATGTGCTTTCAGATCCGCATTTTAGTCCACAAATTTTAGTTGAATAAATACGAACAACCTAAGTCTGTAATTTCTATCCAAAGCTAGACAAGTAAAGTGATGAGTAATTAACTTGGTGGATCCTGAAGAGCTACAGTACTATTTAATTTATTTCAAATAATACTTTTAAGAAAGATAAAACAGATTGAAAGAATGTCAAAAGAATTCACTATGTATGAAATATCGTAAAATTCCCTATAATGCCATTTTCACCAGAAGAGATATCAAACTTCCCTTGGGGATTCGATGGCCAAAGAATGAATTAGATTAAATATTCAACATGGTAATTCACACTTGATAATCTCTAGTTGATAGATCTCCCTAATTTTGCAAATACGAAAACACTGAGTACGGACTACGGACTACCCAACGAAAAGAAAAAAAGAAAGGATCGACCTCATTTATGAACAAATAAACCATTGATCGTTTACCAAGAACCAGAAAAACTTCAAACCTCTAATTCCCATATTGCCACTCTATTCTGTCAATATTCAGGTAGGCCCTTAATGAACTCCAGAACAGATGGAGATATCGGATTTCCCATCTTTGGCGATGCAAAAACTGAATCAGGACATCTAAATACTGGCCTGGGTGAGAAAAAGAAATCGGAAGAAGTTGGGGTAAAAAGAGGAACATCAGCGAAGTGAGGAGCATTTGGTGGCTTAAGAAATGGTGAAACAACAATATCAACACCAGCAGCAGCCCCATGACAATTCTCTTCTGTTGAAATTGAAGATGAGTCATTATCACCATGACCAACATGCTTTCTTTCGTTACAGTTACCCTTCCCCGCTTTTAAACCCTTACTCACAACACCTTGATGATCTTGCCCTTGCTGTGCAAGGGGTGCCATTTCTTGATTTTTAGACCGCGAAAGTCCCGTGAGTTTCTGTACCAAGGCCATAAAATCCTTGGCTTGCGTATGGATTACCTTAGGTGAATGTGTATAGATAATAACCGGTTGGTTCTTTTGCCGCTGCTGCTCCAGTTTTTCTCCAAAAACAGGAGGATCTATTACAGATACCGATGATGAAGAATTCGACGTAGAAGCTGATGAAGAAGAAGAAGATTTGCGAATGAGATGGGATTCTTTGTTGATCTTCAATGGAGATGGACGTTGACCATTGATGTTACTTTGTCCGTAATGATGATACTTTGCAGAACTCATTTGGATTAAATCTTGCAAGAAAATGAAGCAAAACAAGAAAACAGATGTGCGGCTGGGCTGGCTTGACAGAGAACAAATACAGCAAAAGATTGAGTTCTTGACGTTGAGAAGTTTATTACAATTGGGAGATATATACAGGAAGATGAGGTGTGATTTTAATTTTATTTTTATTTTTTGATAGAATAGCCGGCTTTTGACCGTTGACATTAAGGACAAGTTGAAATTTAATGTTCTAAGCGGGCAGCAGTTGTTAGGCGGTACCCTTCTCTCTTTTTCAAGGCAATTTGTTTAGGTTTTCATGGCCGCTTTCGCCGGCTATGCCAGTTCAGTTCTGCATACTTTCACACAGTTGTTTATTTTCTTAAAAAAGAATCACTGTTTGTTTTTGTTAATTGACACGTTAATTACTCTATTACATAATAGGGATATTGAGTCGTTGTTGCAGCAAGTTGGTACCACTTGTGGATGCTGAGCACCACATTCATTCAACCAGCTAGCCTTATTTATATTCACATGATGTGAAGGTTTATTATCTAATTATTTATTTTGATAAGAATAATGGTTGTATTTCTCTACGTAAGAACAGGTTCTTATATATATTCAATGTATATGCGGTGATTATTTTGAAGATTATAGACAATTCATTCGTGTGAGTATGTTATTAATTTCTTACATGATAGGGTTATTCTTACGAGAAATCTAACCTAGCCATTTGATAAATTAACGTAATCACTTTAAAAAATGTTTTCACGAGTTCTGAAGTCTAGTTGTAATCCAAAGCTTAATTAGATATAATGTTTTCAATTGTTTTTTTTTTTTCACTTGAATAATAAAAGGTGTTTCCGAACCATTTTAATTATTATCTAAATTAATTAACTTCTGTTTTTAAAAACAATCCCTCAATAATGACACATAGATGTCCCAATATAAGAACTTAAATGCAACTTCATCAGTAATTTGTTTATCTAATACGCATTGACAACACTATTGATACGTGTAATTTAATTGTATTAACTGTGAGCTCATCTGAGCTTGTGATTCCACCCGGAAAGAATGGATATTCATTCTTAATATATAGTAAATGTCTACTTGGGAATTATCATTTTGAATACGTGATAGTATTTTAAAAGTTAATATCACAATATTTTTCATGTGTTATTTTTAAAAATTAGACAATCAAAAACCACAATCATAACTATATAAAATTCACATATACAACTAATTAAAAGCTGCAGCTTTTCCAAATCGACTGCTCTAACGAGGGGGGTCTCATCTTTAAACCCCAGAGCATTAAATTTGATGGGGAGTTTTAATAATGGGAGAAATCTGCTCTGTCAATACATACCAATCTGCCAGGTGGCATGGCTTGGCCGCCTAAATTTCGATTTTAATTTTAATCTAATGATAAAAGTAAAACGAAATTTCAATTCTAGCTCCCTGTGGTGATTGGTCCTCTTTGTAGAGAGCTTTTGACTTGAATGGATTTGGTTGAAAGTCAACGGTCAAAGTCTATAATTTTATCGCAACATGTTTTTTGTCAGGATTTAATGATGTATTATGATCGGCGGTGAGAAGAAAAACCCTTCTCCAGGGAAACTTGGAGTTTTGAGCATTCCAGATTGGGATTCACGACTGTCTCTTTTTCCCCCTTTGTGTTTAAACAAAATTGATGCAAGATAGATTAAATATATATTTCTCAAACCTTATATATATATATATATATGTATATATGTATGTGTGTGTA